TCTTCAGATGTAATGCGATCAATAAGTGATAATTTTTTTAATAAATTGAGTAAACTTTTTGTTAAAATTTAAGGTTTACGGGGAGCGCACAGGGCCCTTTATCCAAGAACACTGATTTTTTACTGCTTCGAGTTCTCATCTTTCTTGTTTGTTATATTGCTTGTTTCATAATAACAGCTATTGCGTGATAAAGATTATACGTGACGCCTTCATAAAGAAATAATGGAAGTCATCTCCATCAACTTGATGTTTTTATTTAGAGAGCCGGCTTTCGGCAGCTTTGCAATCATCATCAGTCTTGCACTGACAGCCGGGAGTCGCCAGATCCCCCCCCCTTTTGCTACTGTCAGAGAGACTGATGATGTTGTTGACGTCAACAATACCACATCAGAATTCCCACAATTCACTTACGCTTCAAGGTTATCTGGCCATTTAATTCTTCAAATCTTCAACAGTGTAGTTCCTCATTTAGCCACTTTCTAGTTTCAAAAATTTCAATAAAGCATGTTCTTGCACGTCAGTCAAACAGTTGGTGACCAGTATGTAAACATGTGTAAAAGCTACTTCAATATACTCTAATCCAGACCCAAATTAATTTATCCCTTTTGAACTTCTTTTATAAATGCATTGCACTTCTAATTTTACGTTATAAATCTTTCCAGTTCTCTACGGGTCCATCTACAAGCAAACATTAAGGACACAGAAAATTATTTTTAGTGTACATCGGTAGAAATATAACCAGTCCGAATTAAAATGGGTACCACTTTTTATCGTACACCTTTTTACAAAGATGCTCAAATGACCTTAGCGCGCCCTCTTAATTAAATGGTGCTCAATGTCTTCCTTTTGTTCAGGCCAGGAATGGCAAGACATGCGTGCAACGTTGAGTCCTGCTTTCACCTCAAGCAAGATGCGATTTATCTTCAAACTCATAGACAGCTGCGGTGCGCAGATGGCTACGTTCTTAGAGAAGAAAATTGAGACAAGCGGAGGTGCGTATACTTTCATTAATGATTACGCCTGCTTATCTTCTTCCCACATAACCGCCACCCCGATACCGTTTGATATGTACTAAGAATGTAGCTTCATAATCAGTTCACGATTCATTACCTGTTCCTGATATTTTATAAAATTTCGTTCTGACACGATATATTTTAATCAAAGTCTCTCCTCATATCAAATAATAGCCGGTAAAAATCTTACCATACAAAACCACACGCAATGGTTTGCCAAAAAGTAGCAGGAGCAGTGCTCAAGTATGATAAATAAAATATTTTAACAAAAACAGTCCTCACGTATACTGCAATAACAGTGCACAGTAAATACGTATAAACTCTTCAACAGTTCTCTACATTCCAAGATTATCAAAAAGCTTTCTATTCCATAACCCAACGGGGAAATAGCGAATATTTAATGACAAGCAGGCGAAATGACGAATATTAAATGACAGTCAAATATTTGCATTCTTCAGTCAATCTCGTAACTGTTGCATTGTTTTTGAATTTTTTCCGGGTTCCTGAACATCCAACAAAACCACAGACCTCTCTCAAAAAGCTGGAGGCTTCTAAGATCCCTTTCAATTTGCAGAGGTAATGAATAATATAGGTTCTTTTGTAATTTTCTTCAGTTCCTGGATATTTCACAAAAGCATAGACGCCTGTCAAAAGGACGGAGATGTATAGTTTTCTTTCAATTACTGTGTACATTAGAAATTAGTAGTATAGATTTTATGATTAAGATTGCAAACATTTAGTGACATAAGTTATCATTCATGTTCTTTAATGTGACGAAACCAAGTAAAATTTAAAAGAGTGCTCTTTCAACAAACAAAGGTACCGGTCGTTGTAGACACACAACCTTCGGAGTTGTATATTTCTACTTTCATTCAGAAAATTAAACATTTGGCATTTTGTAGATGTGCTTAAAGTTGCTTTTTTCGACACGCGGAGAATATAGTGTATCGTATTAACGAGGCTGTGGTTGCAGCAAGCAGCGTAAATTGCAGCTGGACTAAATATCTTAAATACCGATCCTCATTAACATCAAGATTAATGTATTTCTAAGTATATCCAAAAGAGTGGTAAAGTTGGTAAAGAGTTTACTACTCACGTTGTAGATTCTGCTAATTCAGCCAGATCTTCCTATTCTCTCTACATCGAAGAACCTGAAACAGTTTGCACAGGAATAAATAGTAATAAATGCAACTGATATGCACGTAACTACAGTGCCGGCAGCGCATTAGCGACTCACAGTTCGATGCGCTGTTGTGCCACATTACTTCACACATGACACCGCCTACATGGTGGATAAGTGACATCTCAAAACATTAACACTTACACTATTACAATACGAATTACAATGCTCGTATCGACACCTCTTGATATCATGGTCCTAACCTTCACCATAGCCGAACCTTATCGCCTCCACAACTTCGTGTGAGTCAGATGAGCGGCAACACCGAAGCCTGGCTGTGAGAAAGTAAACAAATCCTTGCAAGCTGATTGCTTCTGAGCAGGTCACGTGAGGAAGCACAGCACGTGGCGAGAGAACTGTCAGAATCGCTTATACGTTTCCCGCACTTTGTAGATAACATTACTTACAGACATTTTGCCATATTTCATATCCAACATAATGTATTACTCATCAGCACTTGTTCAAATCACGAGGTAAAGGTTTTCACGCTCTTTTTTTTTTTTTTTTTTTTTTTTACTTTTGCAGATTCTCCGTATGAAATGGATATGAAGGACTTCTTTACTCGGTTCGCCAGCGACGTCATTGCTACCAGCGCCTTTGGAATTGAATGCGACTCGATGCGGCAGCCCGACAACGAGTTCTACCGCATGGGGCGAAAGCTGACCAACACCAAAGGCGTTAGAACCCTTATTTTCTTGGGTTATATGTTTCTACCGAAGCTTATGGAGGTAAAGTGCATAAAAGTTGTATTTTCATTACCTCTTGTAGGTCAGATCTGTACAGCCTGCACTTTGACTGACCTCGAGAGCCGCGCGCGAGCCGCTCGAGTGCAACTGCAGAGAAATTTGAAGGGTGGGGATGAGGCAAATACTACGAGTGGGGGCCACCAATTAGAATGCGCAATTCGAACCGTAGCGGGTAAATTGAAAGAGCAATCGACGAAAAAATTATGGTCACAAATAGTTCAATTAATATTGCCTTTTGTATTATATTGGAAATGTTTGTTGTCGAAATATGACGATGTGAAATATGAAACTACAACGAATTATACGTATTTGATTTGGCCATCAAATATTATAATTACTATTAGGGCTGATAATGTAATTTGATTTGCTACGATGTCATCAAGAATATAGGGTTTTGCTAAACCCAAAATTATGATACTGAATGGTTATTTATTTTTCATTAACTATGTTTAATTGAATAAGACGTATATCTCAAAGCTAAAAAATATTATTCTTCAATAAAATCATGCATATTTTCTACACTAATTTCTGACAAGAATTCATTATATATTTCTACTATCAAATCAACGAACACTATTTATCATTTACGACATGGTATAAAAATATTAAGCCCTTTGCATTCTATTTAGCAAGACCCATGATAATGTCATGATTGCCCGTAACATATCATCAGAAAGGTTTTCTTCTTGATATCTTCATATTCACAATGGGAGGAAACGGTCACAAATACATGTCCTTCTTGCAACTGCCTACACTTCATTTTATGTCAATCTTGATGCGAGAGTTTGCTCTCATAATTTTCTTCATTTTGCTATCATTTGGAGATTATAATATTCCGGGAGAACAATCCATTATTAAATTGTATATTTTTGTTTGTTAGAGTTAAATATTTTTTAAATGGCTACGGCTTTAAAATATTGCTTAAGTGTCACAATGAGCATCAACTAAGACGCAGCAGAGTACATAAGAACCTGAACAGTGAATTACGGTCCTTGTAGCTTAAAGTCCCACCCATTTAAATAAGTGGAGAAATGATTTCACAGCATTAGACGCCCCGGCATTCAATCTACCCGCCGCGTCGTTGAACGTCAGTCTTCTCTCCTCCCCGCAAAGCTTTTTGCCCCCACCACTTGCACTTTCGGCTCTCTCGCGGGCGGACGGCGGGCTCGTAAGTGCACAATGCCCCCGGGAGCAGGAGTTGTGCAGGCATGTTGTCGTTGGAGTACCAACAATACAATTATTGCTTTATTTCGAAACGCATTTAACCATCTGTTGCATGCATCATCATTCATCAAATATACCAGCGAAGGTGGCGGAAGGAATACACTCAAATGACTGCAGGGATTGGAAGCTCCTACACGAAAAAAAACAGTTGCAGTCAGATCTACGATACTATAAGTGTTCCCTTGTTACAGTATACTGTATCTGGTATACTGCAACTGTTCTTTTTTTCCGTGTATGGTTCGAGTCCCAACGGTGGCAGAATTGTCGACAGTGGCTGGATAGCTAGGTTGTAATCAGCCTCTGTGTGGCGTAGACTTCTAGAGACCAACTTCTCTGATCGGTAGGTTTATGTGGTTTCTTCGATGAATACCAGGCGAATGCCGGAGCAGTACTCTAACTAACCTAACGGATCACGCGTGATAATTCCTTTCTCTTCGTTGTCCTTTTCTGATCCCTTACTTGCACACACTTAGACTTACATGCACTATACTATCACACATGGAGACAGGTCAGGAGCTAAGCACTTGTCTCGAATGGGGGGTGCCCCGCTGCTGGCAAATCCTGGTTGGGGAAAATCTCCGCAAGCCGGATCTCTCTCTTCAGAGGGAGACGATCACCGCCACTTCTCGCGATAAAGAGACTTACTGGAATGCATCTGGGAGCGGAACAGTTGACGCGTTCGGAATCGTCAATCAATCACTCGTGTATCATATGTTCCGAAATTACGAACTAATGGAGATAATTGGACCAATCCACGGGCCAATCAATAGAGAAAAACAATTTATAACGTATGTTATTCACAATAGACCACGCCAGATGTTTTATTTTATTTTTCAGATTCTAGGAATACCCTTCAACAGCCCCCAAATAAGGACATTTTATCACAGTCTCATTCACGACACCATTAAGGAGCGCCAGCAGAAGGGCATCTTCCGTCCCGACATGCTGCAGCTGCTCATGCAGGCGCGCGAAGGACAGCTCAAGGCGGAAGCTGGTGACGAACAGGAGAACATCTCCGGCGCCAAGCTGAGGAGTGAGTATTGGACTCTGTTTAAATTTTTCGCCCCATTATACCGGTTTCAATTTGAATTGTCGGGTAGATGAAGGAATACCTCTTCAATGAACTTAGAGATGGTCCAAGAGGCAGTTACACGAAATTTGCCAATATAATGCCAAAATAGAGCCAATTGCGGCCAAATCCAGAGTCAGTTGCCAAGTCACGGGAAATAAAATCTTACATACCTCCCAATACCAAAGAAACACTGTACATAGCTGTATGATAACACTGTTATTAACTGTATGATAATGAACGCCTTGTTTTACAAGTTTGCTTTCGAACTGATAAATATACGTTATTCATCACTATTTTTTGTCATTTCTCGTAGGTAGTCTAAAAACATACAGAACACGAATTCGCAGCTGACTTTTGTGGCCTCATTAGCATTGAAACTAACAATTATATAATAAATTTGGTATCTGGTAAATAACTGTGCCGGTAGCCGAACTTTCTTAATTAAATTTCATTAAAGTCACGGAAGTTAGATAGTTCGAGACACCGCGGGTCCCTGGATTGGTGTCTGTCTGGGAATCCGGCTACCAACGGCGTTGAGTCAACCCTATCTGGAGAAGACATCTACTCATGAAAGTGTTGGCTGAGCCCCTCGAGTGTAGGTAAAAAAATTAATGACTGACGACTTGACGTATGACTAATTTCAAGGAAGAGTACTCCACGTTCAATGTCAAAAAAGGCTTGGAATGTTACCCATGTAACTACAAATTATGTCTCGCTTCCTCCCTACTAAACTACGGGGTCAAGACGAACAGTACTGCGGAGCAAATCGGAAAGTCTAAGCGTATCAGTCAGAAGCAAGCTTGGGAAATTTTGGCTCTAATCTTTTCAGCCACCAGTTCGAAATATTCCTAAATTAGAAATGTCTACTGCTTATTAAACCGTAGAAATCGGACAACGGACATTAACATGCCCAATCTCCCGCTGTATTTGTCAGTTTGCTTTCAATTGAGGACGTTCGCAGCAGTCGATCCATAGCTCTAGGGAAACAGGCACAGAGATGTCTGATTGTTTTTCTCAAATATATAGGCTTCATAATGCTATGCGAGAAACTGTAATGAAACCTTAAATTTTCGCCGAAAGCAATTTTCGACCTGGTCATATTACCACTCATCCACAATGAAGGGGGATATGGATGTATTTGCAAAGAGAATTCAATGAGGAGAGATCAGTTGTTGAAAGGTACACCTGTTGTGTTCACTAGAGCTGACGGACCAAGACATGACGTCGCAAGCAGTCATCTTCTTCTTCGCCGGCTTCGAAACAGTGTCCACCGCCATGAGCTACTGCGCCTACGCCCTGGCCCGTCACCCGGAGGTGCAGCAGCGCTTGCAGCGGGAGGTGGACGAAGCCTTCGAGAAGAACGGCGGAAAGCTCACATACGAGGCCGTGCAGGAAGCCAAGTACTTGGACATGTTCATCAGCGGTAAGCCCCGCACGAAATGTGCACTCTGCTTTTCTTCTAAGTTTTATACCAACTTCTTAATTATCTTTATTTAAATTCATTTTTTAAATACTTTATTTATTTTTAGGACAATAAATTCCTTTTCTCAATTTTATATCTTTTAATTTTTATAAATGATGGTACTATCAGATAGATAAAGTTTCGAAAAATGCAATGGAAAAATTATACCATAGTGTACCCGAAATGGACCTTACATGTATTATACGAGTGAATTATCAATGTCGTTTGTAATCTGTTTATTAAAACTTCCCAATGTACTAAATATATTATTTATAATATCTCAACCCCTCATTTAATGTGAGTTATACTCTTATTTCTTAAGAAACGTGTCATAATAGAGAGATATCATCTAGTTATCTTAGTGATTGGTTATTCTTGATTCTTTCTTCAAATATACAGGGTGCACGGCCAAAATCCGGACAAATTGAACATTTTTCTTTACACTATATTTTTTGTTGTAAACATGAAAAATTAAACAAAATGTTTTTACCACGTAATGTATAGGATCATATGGAATAAATTTATTCTATATATCCCCCACTTGCTTGAACGACCGCCTCCAATCTGGGTCTGAACCGCTCGCAGGCACGGTGCAAGGCATTACGGTCCATTTCGGCGAATGCTGCTTCAATAGCGACTCGGAGAGATGCTACGTTCGGGTGTCTCGACTTGTTTGTCACTCTCTCAACCACGCTCCATACATAATAATCCAACGGATTTAAATCTGGGCTGTTGGGAGGCCAGAATTCCTTCGACCAAAACATGTCGATATTGTCCGATAACCAATTCTTGGCATAAAAGCGCGGGAGATTCAAATCTAATTTTGTCCGGATTTTGACCGCGGACCCTGTATATTCTTTGACTTTTGCATCGCCAGAGAATTTATTATAGGAAATGGTCTGTGTCTGTGCAGAGGTCATGCGGCTCTATTCGGCTGTGCCTTCGTTGGATCGCAAATGCACCAAGGATTTCACCATCCCTGCGCACGGAAATGTCCCAGCCTACACTGTGCGTAAGGGCGACAGCATTTGGATACCGGTGATTGCTTTGCACAAGGACCCAAAGTATTGGGGCGACCCGGAGACCTTCAATCCTGAACGTTTCAGTGAAGAAAATAAGCCAAAAATTAAGCCGTACACTTACATGCCATTCGGAGTCGGACCTCGTATATGCATAGGTGAGATTATGAAGGTAGCCCAGAATAATAATAATAATAATAATAATAATAATAATAATAATAATAATAATAATAATAATAATAATAGCAATAATAAGAAAAAATAAAATATTACATTTATCTCTTTGTTATCTAAAAGCAAATGTCTTAAGTCATTATGATATTTCTGAACAGTTTGTGTTATTGAAAGTAGGCTTAAAGGCCTTATATGCTAATTCTTGAATCTCGTACGTCTTACGATACTTATTTCGTAAATACCTATTAAGGGATTACTCAGCTCTTTGTTGGTTGTTACGTCTTGGATTTGAGTGCTAGAAAAATACCTCTGGAATTCTTGAGTGGTGCCCAGCAAAGAGGTATCTAGAAGTTGATATACTAGATCCGCAACTAGAGTTATGGTGCTAAGTTAATTCGTCAAGCCTCTGCATAGATCTCAACTCTCTGGAGGGACGATCTCTGGATATAGCCGCAATTGCTGTTGGAACCATCATGACCTTCCGTTTCCCCTCGGTTTGGAGATAACGATTTTTCGTTATTTTTTCGATCTCCTTCTGATCCACTTTGGAATCTGCTGGGATAGACACTTCCAATACCAGACCTGTTTGTCTTAAATTGTGAGATGTGATATGTTATTATTCAACGGATGGTCTATTTGAAACCTGAAAATCTTATGTATTCTTGTACTGGAATTTTCGACACTTGTTTCCATACTTCTGATCCACAAACCATTTACAAGCCTGAACTACACGCCTTTACAAGCCATATTTTCGGTACAGATTCCACAGTGAAAAGGCCACTCGTTATAGCATTTGAAATTGGCGTATGGAATTTTGCTACAGGTACTAATTGTCTGTGTCTTCCTGATGTTTGCACAGAATACATTTGCCGCTCTTTTTCATTAATGGTTATAGCCTCTAGACACTAAATTTAGAGCCTGTTTTCAGACTACAGGTTCAGACATTATGTCTCTTTCTTGGGGAAATCCCACATTCAGGGTCTTGTGAAATATTTTCTATGTTCCGTGCTCATTGCCGTGGAGGGGATTGCCATATCCACTTATTCAGCATTCCTGTCGTTTCCAATCTAATGAAAGCGGCGCTTCCCAGTTTGAGGACCGCTCCTTACATACTTGAACTTTCAAAGGATGCCATACATCCCTAGGATTTTTGAAGTACTAAGAATTTGCTTTTTATTTCAACCGTCTCGTTTGTCACTCAAGTCCACGATCTCCGGGACATAGGGAGAGATAGTCTGTCAACATCATTATACGATTGGAGAGTGCGACGAGTTGTCATTAGTTAACTGGTATGAGGTCCAGAAAATTGATCTCTGCTTGCGTTTAGTCTATTATTCCAACAGGGTAACAGATCAGTGATCACCCGTTAGGCCCAGATATTGATATCGTGAATGAAATATCCCCTGTTGAGCTTGGTCTGACATTTTGACACAGGTGTCGTTTGTATTCCAAGGCGAAAGTTCTAAATTGTTAGTGGCCAGTATCCGTAGTCTTCTGAATACCTCGGCAATTGGATGTCTCGTATATGAACATGGAAAATCAGGCAATACAAAGAGACAGTCTTACGAAACTCAATCTTACAATAGATGTATATTCCACATTTACATGCCGATTTTTGTTTACCCTTTGTACTTTTGCAGGCAACTAAAACTTTCATTGTCCTCTGTACAGTTATAACAGTATCTGTAGGTCTCGTTATGAATTCGGAAGAGGAGAGAAGATGATGTGATATTTACATGGAGAATACTTATGACGATAAAGTATGTCATAGGAACTGCTAGGTCATGGGGCTTGGTTAATATGAAGTAATTATGTAATTTATTATTTGCCAATGTTTTGGTAAATTTATTCCTATTCTCAACGAGGCACACTAAAATTTTAAAAAAATTGAACAACTAAGCAATATATATATTACAGATCATTTCACAACAATTAATACCCGGACAAAATTAAAATAGAAGAACAATACTTTACAATAAATATTTTACTATTATTTTTATTTATTATTTATTTAATAGGTAATTATTACAGACAAAATTAGCTTACTTGATCCTATGTGGCTAGGCCGAAGGCCTTTAAGCCATTACAATACCTACATCCTTTCGCGTTCTAATCTTTCGAATTCTGGTATTCACCCCAAATGGTCTCTCCATCGCATCAAAGCCGCGGAAAAGAGACCATAAGGTACGGCTCAGGAAAAAACCCCTGAAGGGGGAAAAACCTGCCGTCAGAAGCCGAGTACATTCTAATCTATCCGACGTTTATTTTACTACTACTATTATTTTACTATTAATAAATAAAGCAAATAACGTTATACATGAGCAAGAATGCTGAATAGGACTTCAGAAACGCCCTGAAGAGACCAGATAAAAATACCCAGCTGTGTTGAAGTCTGAACCTGGGTTTTTCATTTATGACCTAAAACTTATCTAAATATGACCTTATTACAAAAACTGATTTTATGTAAAATTTTTTCAAAAAAAATTCAAATTATTTGTTGATTTTTTACGTAATATAAATACAAAATTCACTCTAGAAAAAATTATAAGTATAGAAATCTCGTTTTGAAATCATTGAAACTAACCAGCACTCATTAAAAAAGTTTTCATTGGACAAAAAGACAGTACAATGAAAACCATCCAAACAATAATATCTTGTTTATACATACTTCTGTGCTTACATGTTTAAAATATTTCAACAACCTTACTGACTTCAGTTTTTTGCGAGTGGCACTGGATCAAAAGGTGCCGATTCAGGTTTTCTACCTTAATCACCTATACTTGTTGCTGAGGATAGTTTGTTCCTCAAGTGTCTTTATGGCCTTGGAAAACGCTCCTCTCCACACTACATGATATCACCAGACATATTTGAAGACAGCGAAGTATGCATAGTAGCTTTGGTTAATTGATTCCAAATTTTGACAGAAATGTCTTCCTCTGCAGAACACTACGCAATTTATTCTTCACTTTCTCACCAACATAACCGTGATCTCAACCCAACTCACTCTGCACATTGTAGTTCGTCATACAATTGAGTACCAGCATCTTCTTGTCGTATGATGGCGTTTGATACCACTGAAATGTTGGCACTGATGTAGCTTACGTGACAAGGTGCGTATAAAGATCTTTTGAAAAGTATCTCCATCATCTCCAATATACTTAAAGAACGATTTCCGGACGGATTTGAAGATGGGATGTCTGCTCAAACTGACAGCTTTACTGTCATTTCCAGCGTGCCTCTTTTCACAACTGATGAGTGAATCCAGTTTTGTTGTCACAGGACACAGAAATGTTCATAGCAGCCATGTATTCACTTACGATTCCGAAATAACAAAATATCTTACTCGACTGATTAGATCGTGACGCAGCTGATTTTCAGAGGTCAATTTTGATTCTCACTGTATTCATTTAAGAAATACGTCTGGGCCATTCAAATTGAAAATTATAGAGTCATGTTACACATTATGTCATTTATTGCAGATATACTGCAATTTGTAAAGTGACGTTTTTACTTTGGTAAGTACATTTGCATTGAATTTAATGGCGCGTGCATACAAGGGCCTTTGTGACTTTGCAGGGTTCCGGTTCGCGCTGCTGGAGGCGAAGGTAGCCCTGGCCCACATCCTTCGGCACCTGACCTTCCAGGAGACAGCCAGGACCCCCAAGGAGGTGGTGTACAGCCCCACCGACCTGAGCGGGGTCATCGTGGGCGGCTTCTGGGTCGGGCTGGCGCCGAGGGCTCCTCGGCAGTAGGGCCGCAACGCGACCGCCTGCCCTTTCGGGCGCCTTCGCTTCACTTCATTATGTTAAAACCAAAATACCAGTATTGCTGGTCTGATGAGATTCAAGGTATACACAATCCGACAATAACTCATGTTTCATTACGGAGTTTCATTACAAGCAGAATCATTAAAGACTGGCTTGTAAGAGCATTTAAAAACTGGTTGCTTTTACTACAATATATTCAAAGGAAACATATGAACGAGGAATAAATTATGTATGTGTCGAGATTTGTTACATCCCCTTCTGAGCTTTATAAATATTGTCTGGTATGTATGATAGGTACTGTATTTATTTCTGATAGTGGTATCGTTCACACCACGCACATAAGTGTTTGTTGAAAATGAGCGTAACACATTATTGTATGTGAGTTTACGCGACCGATTTGTGTAATTATAATATTGTAAAGTAATTTTAAATGTTTTCATATGGTTTTTAGTTACATAGTTTAAATTAAACATATATCATGAAATAATTATCTTAAACAAAAAACAAATTGAAAAACGGTATATTGTATATTGATTTAAACAATTTCTCATTTACAACTTATAGATTTGTTTAATTAATAATGTATTCACTTATATTTATTAGACCCTGAAGATAAATGGCAATAACTTTCGAAACGTTGGTCTAAAAATTGTATGAATATAATAAAAATGTATTATGTGAATGTCTGCCAAAAAACTAAAAGACCTCTCAACCAATTTAAAGAACACGTGTGTAGTGATACCTTTTTCCGACAATACTACGCACAACTGTAATAAAAATGACCTTAGCTCTATAATTTAATATCTCTGGCACTTGATACATTCACACCTAGACGCAATTAAAACCAATATCCAAGTTACCTTTATAAATAAGAGTTAAGAAAAGTGTCATAGCCGTTCTTAAATATGAACATTCCGGTTTAGGCAATCGAATGTACTCGTAAAAATAAACAAACAGTCATCTCCTTTCTTATAGATACGTAGTTCTGTACGTTGATGAACTGCCAAATCGTACAACTCATAGGTCACCCTATGGTGATGCGTAGCTAAACTAATGCGCAATGATGCTCTCTTGAATCTGTGATGTAATGCTCGGTGACAAAAGCCCACAAAAGTAATTATTTTGTAAATACACTAAATATACGATTTTTAAGATTTATGGTTGTAAAACATGGCCTATATTACTCCTGATCTTCAAAGGAAGCCAGCACAAATATCATCGACGTTACATTAAGAGATTATCGTGCTGTAACTCAACGACCTCTACAAATGTAACGTTGAACATCAACTGAACTTCGTAAATTCATCTAGAATATAAATGTATTGAAAAAATAAAAAAAAATTAAAAAAACTCAAATCACTTGTGATTTTATATATTATAATAGATTGTGAAGTGTTAATTTAAGTGTTTCGTAATTATTGCAAACCATTCCTGACAAGCGAACGGTCAATAATCCGGCGCGCGCAAGGTTTCGAAGTGAATCGGTTCCTTCCAGATGAGCGACATTAGTGAGTGGTACTGTAAACTCTTAAACGGTCAACCCTCAAAACATACGGCAATAGCCCTGTGCTAGCCATTGGGATCCACAGTATTAGATGACAACGTGAGTCACTCCTCACAGTTCAAAAAATGTTACCGATGGAATTTTGGATATGTCAAGTCTCCAAGCAAAGACAGAAATAATTATTAACAAGTTTTCACCTTACCCGAAATTTCAGCTAAATTGAGATAAGTGGGAGACTGCTTAATCGACACAACAACATGAATTCTTTAATAAACATCCCCCACTTAAATATGTAAAATGGCATCAAGTCATATGAGTAAAAGTAGTGGAGTAATGAGTATATAGTGAATGTAAAATAAAGTTTCTAGTGAATGTTTATAACAGTATTGTTTGAGAAAGTTGTTTGTCCGTTGAAAGGGTAATGACAAATTATGATTTGTATAGTAAAGTGACGGGCGCAAATATATTACTACTTTCTAGATCTTCACTTTCAAAATATACACGCTGGAGTATGACAGTAAGAATGTCAATTGTATAATGTGTCAAATGTAAGTGTGCCAAGAATATAATATTCCAGATAATAAGGTTTCTTTAAAATTAGCTTCTATGGAAGAAATAATATAGATAAAATAAAAGTTAATGATTTTTACTTTCTTGCACATGAGAAGAAACTTCTTAAGACGAGAAAGTTATGAAGTGCTGCGCATAAAAAAGTGAATTATCGGCAGAAAAAAAAATCATTGCCAGGCCCTGATAGCGAAAAAGTGGATAAATCCCGTTGCTAAATTTAGAAGCAAATCCTCTAAATCGTCCATTTGTAACCGTCCCGTCGTGCCTCTATCTGCATTGTAATTATTTTTACATCTATTACCTGATATTCAAAATCTCTGTTTAAATTTTAGTACTAATCTTTCCGGCACGAGTGGCACTGGAATATTTGTATTAGGATCATGGGGCTGAAGTCACTCCTATACATGATAGGGAAATAATATTTATTATTATTTTTTGGTTTTGAGAGAGTAAGTGACATTTCTTTATCTATAAACAAACAAAAAATAGCATAGATGTCATTTAAATATATTCAGCATCGTGACCAATGGTACCGTTAGTTTATTCGGCGGTGTTAATCTGCGCCGTCGCCACGCTGAAGTTACTACATATAAGAGCACCAGTTAATCACATTTGCGGTATCAGGGAATCTCAATACCAGTTTTTCTCTTAAAAATCGTCGAGAGAAAGGAAAAGCGGAAGAAAGGATATGGTTTGAACAATGATTTTGAACCAAATACATTTTTAATTGGTGACTATCCAGTCCCACAACAAAAAGGCGTAGTTTTTATATTATTTTTTAATGAATTCAAACTGTTTCATTAAAAATTCATAGTAATATTTTTTTATAAATTTTAATACCAAGTTTAAATAAAAAATACTCAAATTTTTCTTAAAAAAAAATTAAAGCTATTTTAGTACCTATAAACTTTTTGCACATAGTTTTTAAGGGTTTGTAAGTCTGCAATTATTACGCAACTTCACTCTGCAATTTATACTTATCTGAGTTATATGATGTCGTAAGCCAAAGAATTTCCAAGTTCAATATTAGTACTCATGATCTGAAAATCACTAAATCTACCTTTGCTTTCAAATTTTATCCGCGTGCTTGCATGCTTGCTCTCACAGTTTGGGACTCGAATGATAAACGTGAAAGAATCACCTACAAAGTATGGGAGTCGAATGATAACACGTGGCCTCCGATATTTCATGGAACTCCGGAGTCAAAAGCTGTAGGCGTTCAATTGCCTCGCAGTTCTTTCGATCGACGCTCTTTCCTTTGCCGCCAAGTGGCGACCCTCCCGTCTCCGATACAACGCAGCTCGCGAGCGAATTTCCGAACTCGTGGGAGTTGAGCTGCTCGCTGCTTTTGGCCCAGCCATCGAGTAGTGCAGGCCTGCTCTGCGTCTTGAATGACGTGTTTTGAAACACGCGCCATGCTGCCTTACGTTACAGCGACTGGAGAGAGCGCGCGTGTATGTTTACGAAGCCACGCTCTTCCTCGGCACCATTATTAGGGAGTTTTGTGCACGGCGAAACGTTACAACAACCGACGGCACAACAAACCTTCTGCGTGTGCGAAGTGCTAGTTTCACAACACTGGAGGTTTTGCACCTCGAAGCGTTAAAGCAATCGACGGCACTATCGTTCTTCTGCGCAGGCATCGTTTGAGTTTCGATTACTTTTGTGCATCTGCGCATGCGCAGGAGATAGGACATGGCCGTACGCCATGTCCTGCATAATCTCCCCATCTAAGCGCTCCATCGCAACTTCGCTTTGCGCAATCGACCGCAAGGACTCGAATGCCAAGGCCAGAGTGGCCGAGTGGGAGGCGCCGTCCGGAGGTCACTCGCGCGTCAGCGTTCATCGGCACGTGGCCTCCCGACCTGATAAGAGGGGCGACACCGGAGGCGGCGCAACAACACCTGCCAACCACGGCGCTGTAAGTACACCGCTCATTGCCATTAACCCTCCTGCATAGTACAGTTTATTTAGTCGTGCACTGGACGTAAATGAGCTGTTGTTGCGGTTTCATCCAGTCGGGAGGTTATATGTCGTTACAATGACGTCACTATTGGGACTCTCAAGCTCCCGATTGGATGAAACCCTGAACAGCTGATTTACATCAAGTGTCTGCTTCAATAAACCCTACTATAGGTACATGCGCCCTGGACTGTGTCACTACTGCATCCATGTGGACTGAGAGTCAGCGCGCCCCTCCAAGTAGTGATGCGACATCGATAACAAAACATTGATGTTAGTAAACATAGAGTAAAAACCATCGATGATTTTAAACTGGTTTAGTAACCTCTAACATTAAATTCGTGAGCATTAAAATTTAATTTGACATTGTTAGTGTTCACCAATTCGCCGAATAAGTATATGAGAAGGAGCAGAGCAGACCCTTCACCCAGAGTATATTTGTTAACCACATCGCAATGTGCAAAATAAATATGAAGAGGAAATCTTAGGGCATGGAGGTCATCTCGGTGGAGAGAGTTTGGTCGATGAAGGCAGTGCAAATAGGGTTCGTGTGGTTCCACCAAGTGTTACCAACAGTTAACATTTCATATTGTAACTTTTACAGTATTGTGACCATGGAAACTTAATTCAGAAACAAAATATCGGAAAAGAAAAATAGAGCATCGATCACAAAACATCGATGTTAAAAAATATCAGTTACGCGTTAATACATAAATGTTTCTACAAAAACATCGACATCGATGTCGCATCCCTACCTGGAAGACGCGCGCGGAAATGAAATTTATTCCCACACGCAAACGAAATCTATTCCACATGCGACAACGCTGTCACTGTTAAAATTGGGTATTAAAACAATAATGAAAATTATCCTTTTTTGCATTCAACAATTACTAAATATTTAATTTGTTGGTGCCCGATTCAGGCTCGGTATTAGTTAATATCATGAAGATTGTGGAGAAGTAGAACAAACAAATGAATCACATATAACAAACTGTGTGAATGGGCATTATTTATCTTATCTGCGAGTGTTTCCAGTACAGAGAGTAAAATAATTCACCAGGTAGTGTAGCGCGTCCGAGGTGAAGACTGAAGTACCCGGCCTTATGGGCTTTTTCGATGAAGAACCCTCCGTGTTTTAAAATTTAAAAACTGTTTTAAATACTGATTAACATAATGTTTCATAACAACAATCATATTAGTAAAATTATACCTTGAATACATTACATATTTACAACAAATCGTGGTGAATATATTTAGAATATATTAATTTGTGTAGGAAGGGATACGTTCGGCTGTTTGATCACGGTGCCATGTGCTTTGGACGATGTATCATACTGTGCTTAAAATACTACGTTTTCCGATTAATTGCCTTTGCTCATTTTAAGGTTTATGGTTTCAAATCACGTCAAAGATCCAAATGTAAACTTTTCATCTTTTTGGTTCTTAGATTGTGGTAAATGTATTAATTTACAATTTTTTAAAATTAGATTTCTTTTTCATTGAAAAATTAATTTAAAATGTGTGGTTAACCAAACGCATAGGGCAAGAGTGGTAAAGTGCTCCATTGAGGGAAATAATAAATGATTATTCATGTTTATAACTATTTAGCTAGATATATTCGAACGGGATTCGTACACGATGCCTACCGGGAAATAAGTATCCCCTCTCCCGGCGAGAGGCAGCTGGGTTTCCCGTGAATCAGATCAGTTGGTTCCGTTGGCCCGACTTATTTTGTCGTCAAACGAAGTTCATATATTTTGTTCGGTAATCAAAACTTATTATTTCTCTGCTGTTAACAAAGTAATAAGAGCTTTGGCGTTTTTGTAACTGAATTTAGTGTGCTTTAATTTTAGATCATATATTCAAATAGTGGCGCACTTCAAAATTAATATAACTTCGTGATTTCTTATGACATTTCGGAGCACGAAGAACGCGAGAAGCCTAACAGATATGTTTCCTGTGTTCCGAAGTATCATAAGAATCATTTTAGATTTAAGGAAAGGAAATAAAATACGCTTTCATTAAAGTGGAACGGTTCGAGACAAACTAATTTAGCGCTAAACTAGCGCTCTGCCACATTGCACGATTCATCGACACCATTGAGCGCGTAACTTTCGGTTCATACTGTACAGCAGAAAATGCAT